AGAAGAAGCAACAGACACGATGGGGTCAATGTTGAAACCAGAGTTAAAACCCAGGTTCCCTATTGTATATGTTCTACAACATCACAAAACTCTACAATCTCTGAGTAATTTGGTTTTTTTTATCTATTCCTTCACCCCTATACTTTCTCCTAACAACTTTATTTTCTTTTACTTTTCAACTGAAAAAGATGAGGTTTCCTAATTTTTAAATTATTTATCAACTTAAAACTCTTTAATTGAAGGAAATGATTGTTTCTATACGTCCAATGATATTGCTGTCAAAAATAGAAATTATCACATTATTTTCTTAATGCATGAGAGATTTTGAAAAATGAATAGAATGAAGACTACATCACTATAGCATTAAAATATATTAAGTACAAACTATGCACAAGACACTGTGCTGAGTGTTTTACAAACATTATTTAATTTAATCCTCATAATAATCCTGGAAGGTATATGCTATTGTTATGCCCATATTAAAGATCAGGAAATTGAGGCAGAGAGAAAGTAACTTAACCAGGGTCACTCCATCAGTGTCTTAAGACAGATTGGAACTCTTATCTTCCTGGCTTTATCCACTGTGCCTTCTCTCTACCTCCTAAGTAACCTTAAGAGGTCTGCTAGTCCAATTTGTACCTGAATTATTCACTAACCCAACCAACCAAACCCACCAATAAAAAGTGTGGGGGGACTTGTAATAAATAAGCATAGTCAAGCAGAGCAAATCCACATAGAGGTACTACCCAACAATGGACATCTCCTTCAGTAATTTGAATTGATCACCTCTCAGTCAGAACATGAATAACATGCTTCACATAGGTCCTTTGGAGAACTAGTTATTCATGCAGAACTGGTTACTCACTGCTTTGTTAATAATTCTTGAGGCTTTCAAAGTTATTTTTCTTTACAATGTTGTTAACATTCTGTAAGTTGTATTCCTAGTTCTGGTCACTTTACATCTGGCTGATACAGTGAGTAAGAACCTTGGAGTCAGGTAACCTGAGTTCAAATCTTAACTCAAACATTTACTAGTATGTCTCCTAGTCTCAGTTTCCTCATCTGTAAAACAGGGATAAATAGTAGCACCTACTTCACAGGTTGATGTGAAAATAAAATGAAATAACATAGGTACAGTGCTTTGCAGAGTTTAAAATACCACCTAAATGCTACTGTTGTGGCAGTTTTTTTTTGGTTTGTTTACTATGCACCAGTTCCTAATTCCCAGGATTTTCTGAAATCACCTCTTTATCATTTGTTAAGGTGTGTTATATTCATATGCCACATTTTGTTTATCCATTCCTCAATTTGTTTTGTTTTTCTATTTCTCTTTCCCTTGCCATCACCATTGCATGACGTCCCATCAAAATCGCTTCCTGATCCTAGACTTTTTTCCTGTTGAATTATATGTATTTTTTTAAAAGATTACTTAGTGTATTCAGTACTCTATTGTTCATTTCAGATAAGAGTGAACTTCATCTGATGCCTACTCCCCTTTTCTCCATGTTTATGTAATCTCATGTGCCCCAATTTTGAGCATTAAGTTTTACCTCCTTATTTGTTCTTTCTACACTAAGGCATTCTTACTACCATCCCTTTTCTGTCTCCTCTTAAAACCTTAAGAATAGAACCAATACACTCCCAAGTCTTTTGCTTTTTTTTAACTCTATAAATAACCTTTGAACACACTAAGTTTCTGAAGGGAGATTCGTTTAGTCTAATGTAGAAGATTAGTACTTCTTCATCACTCAACTCATGCACCATATGCCTTATTCCTTCTACTACTAGGGCCCTTTCATAGTACCTTCTATTTAATTGCTCTGCATTTAATAATAATAATGGTAATATTACTACTAATAATAATGATAAGTAGCATTTATAAAGAGCTTTTTGAGATTTGCAAAGTACTCTATAAATACCTCATTTTATCCTCACAACAACCTTGGAAGGTAGAAACTATTTTTAGCCCCATCTTACAGATGAGGAAACTGAGACAGGAAGATGTTAAATGACTTGCCTAGGGTCAAACACCTAGTAGGTGTCTGAAGTAGAATTTGAATTCAAGACTTTTTAACTCCAGGTTCACTGCTCTGTCTATTATACCACCTAGATGTAAATATATATATATATATATATATATATATATATATATGTATATATGTATTTATTAAGTCTATATGTATATATACATATTCCTTTATCATCTTCCATTAGAATGTAAGTTCATAGTGAGAGGGGCTCATTTTGTTCTTTCCAATAGTATCCCTACCACAATGCCTGCCTGATATGTAGCAAGTGTTTTATATTCATTTGCTGATTGATTGGTTGAGGGCAAAAAATTGCTCCTAGTGTTTCTAAATCTGAGTATTGTTAAGTTCAGGTTGGTCAGTGCCGCTTTGAGTCCGTGCCACACCAGGTGCCTTCCAAGATTCCTAATGAGGGTTTTAGATGACCTGAGAGCTTTACTGGGGTGGGGGCAGGGTGTTTTCATCCCTTGCTGTCTTTGTTCATACTGGGAGCCTATCATCTGGTTTGCCTCACAGCAGATACTGGTTTGCTTGGGGGATCCTTTACCTGTTACCCATGGGCTTCTGGATTATTATTTTGTTATTATGGAGTAGATGAAATTGCTTACTGTAATCTCTCATTGAATTTCTTGACCATTATTTTTTCAGGGTGATTTTTTTGAAGTTTTTGATGAGGTATTTTTGTGAGGTCCTGAGCTGCCTGCCTCCCCTCAACCAGCCATCTTGGCTGGAAGCTTGTTAATGGGGACACTTCTGGGAGCTAGAAAGAAGCATGAGGATATTAATGAGGACAAAAGACAAGATACCCTCACTCAAAGAGGCCATCAGGAGGGAGGTAAACAAAGGCAAACCTCCTGAACTACTCAGTTTTGCACAAGGTTAAAAGGAATTTTGTTGTTGTTGTTGTTGTTGTTGGATTGTGGGTTTTGTTTTGTTTAGTTTTTTAGCCAAAAACATGCAAGTGTGACCAATAACTCTTAGAAGTTTGTCCATACAGAAAGATCCCTTATATTCAAAATTTTGTCAGAGATATGCTGCTTATACCTTCTGTAATTTTGGTGCTATAGTCTTCAGGAAAGATTGGTGTATTACTAAAATTTAAAAAAAAAACCTCTATAATATGATGCTGGAAGAAACATTAAATAATATGTTAATAATGATATTGCGTTTCAATAAATCTGTCAGCATAGAGGAATTTGCAGGCAAAACTGCAAAAAATCCTCAAGTACCTTCTTTTCTAAAATTATGTTTCAATAATGTTTTTCCTCCATTGTGATTATCTAAATTATCTGTGCCTTAGGCAACTGAATTGTGATAGCAGAAATCACAGTTCTATTGTTATTGTTGCATCTAATCCTCAACAGATTATGATTATACTATGTAATACTGGACTTCTGGGCACTAATTGTAGCCAATAGCTTATTTTATTAATAATATTACTACACATACCAGGGTTAAACATAAGCTATCACAATGATTCTCATTCAGTTAACCTAGAATATGTGTGTGAACAAAGTAGTTTTACTAAGGTCAGGAACATAATTGAGTCTTTCTTTTCCTTCATCAGGCATTTTCAAGAAATATGTAAAGTCCATACTTCCTGACTGTCTTTATGGCATATTTGGTTTTATATTAAACCAAATCCACAAGAACCTATTAATGAAGATAGTTTAATGCCTTTGCATTAATATAATGGACTCCTTTGTTCTCTAGTTTCTGTGTCAAAGACTAAGTCATTAATCAATGGGTGCTGAAAAATAATTGTCTACTTCTTAACAATTGGCTATTGTTGAAACATTTGGAATTTTATGATAAAGATGTATTGGCTGCTCTGGGAGGAAAAAGAAAGGTTTAAGATTACCCTTCATGGAAGTGTGGGCATATTGTTAGAAATGCAAAGCAGCTGACCTGGTTTTAATGTATTTTAATGCATTGTTGTTCAATTGCCTATTCAAATTGTGCTGAAAAAGTTGATTTCATTAATGTCAAGAAATAATGACTTTGTATGTTTCTTGCACTGGCATATTCATTAAGTGGAGAAACATTAAAAACATCACAGAATTTTTTAAATGGTACAAAATTTGGGGGAGATGAGTAATAAGTATGATGAGTACTATCAGAGAAATAATCTTGATAGCATTTTTTTTCTATTTAGTATCCTATCTAGATTGAGTACTCTAGCCCCAAATAGTGGTTATAAATATGAGCTGTGTATTTTTGAGTGATTACAACTCAGCAAGGAATATATGACTATATCAAGCTGTTTTAGTCCCTGGAAATTAGACATCTTTCTCACTGAAAATGCAGCATTTTGAAATGACAGCAAATCATATTTATTGTCATCTAGTATTTGAATAAAATAAAGAACTGTGATTGCTTGACTGCATGGATTTCTTACATCTTACACCAAAGCATCACTACCCTCCTACATAGAACTTAATAAATCAATCTGAAGAAGTTGCTTGAGTGACCAAGAGTTGAAGTTGCCTTTGCAGCATCACATAACTAATAAATGTCACAGAAGGGATTTGAACCCAAGCATTCTGACTCCAAAACCAAATATTCTATTCCCTACAATACTCTGTTTCTATATAATATTCAAATACTAATAAAAATATATCCCCTAAAACATATATATATAGAAATAGATATAGATATAGATATATAGATATAGATATCCCCTAAATCTAGCATGCCCATAATTTGCCTCAAAACCTGGAGGAAATGCATATTCCCAACTGGGCAAGATCTAGGTCTGTCACTGGCACCCTATACCATCCCAATTAACCCATCCATCTCCCACTTTGTAGGATATAACTCATTGCCCTTCTCTTGTCCTTGAGCATAAACTATCGTAAGAGTGATCTTATCTAATCTTACATGCTTGATTAACAAAAAATCTATCAGATTTTATGGCATTGTAATGGAAAATTGATTGTGTCTAATTAATACAGATGCCTATTTATAGGAATTAAAAATATAGAATGTTTTGCAAATTTTCATGTCATCCTTGCACAGAGACCATAATAATCTTCCCTGTATCATTCCCATTTTAAAATGTGTGCTATGGAAATGAGCACTGTATAAACATTTTTAATGATAAAATCACACACACGCACACACATCAAAGGCATCTTTGGTGAGGGAATTAGTATGAAATTAGTGAGAAACAAGTTTTACAAGTGGAATGCATAAGTATGCACATATGTATATATGCATAAATTTGTATGTACATATACATACATATATAATATAATATCTCATGATTAACTTAAAGATGTAGACAAAACAAGATTTCACTGTGGGTTCTTTTTCCATTTATTGACTTTAAAAAAGATTAAGAGTTAATAGAGCAAACCAATTTCTTAAAGGCTTTTTTTCCGAAAAAGTATCTCCCATGTACGAATCAAAATTACGAGAATCTTTTTAAAGATATTACTACAGAGAAAAAATATTTGATAATCCTCTAGTCACTAATATCAATTCAAGCATAAAACATGTCAATGCATGCTCACCAGAAGTGTTCCAACCCTGTCATGAAAGGAACTCATTAAGGTGAAGAGAGATTTTCTAGAAATAGTGAGGTCCTCCAAATTTTTCTGTTTGGAGATGAAATTGTGTTAGATGTAGTAAGCCTGCCTGAAGCAACACAATCCTCCTGGAAAAGCTCAAGTGTTCAAAAAAATTTGGTCCAACCACCTATATAAGGTTTTCCTATATAAGGAAAACCAAATGGATGAAAATCACCTGTTATTCAGACATGCAGTTAGATTTATAACATTTAGAGTTCACCTATCAATATGTATATGTATATACTAATATATATGTATGTGTATATATGTGTGTATATATAAATATGTATATACACATATATGTATATGTTTGTGTAATGGTATATGTGTATATACACATATACATATACATATATATGGAATAGACATTGGAAAAGGACAAAGAGTTGAGCCCAGAATTAGAGTGAGAAGAACAGGCTGGATTTCCTTCAAGACTTACAAAGCCCGTTAGTGAAACCTAAAATCTTCCAAAAATAGTCTCACATTTTAAATATGAATAATTTACTGTTATACATGCATGACTATGAATCATGAGATACTATAGTCTTTGAATAAATAAAAATGAGCATCATCCAGAGGGTAGTGATAGGTATGAGTAAGCTGCAACATATAGCAAACAAGATACTATAAAGAAGAAACACTGTCAAGGATGTCATCAAAGAAAGACATGCCTAGGAGAAAGACTCTGGGTTCTACAGATATTCTCATGATTTCAAGATTAGAACTGAGGAAGAAACCCTATTACACTGGGTATATTTGTCTTAAAAGAATAGGATATGGGATATGGGTTAATTTTATAGCATGAGCAAACATGAAGGTTTGAAGTGAATAGCTACATCAGTAAGAAAGCAGAGCCATTGCAGTATTGGGGTTTGGGGCTGGGGATAAACTACAACTGTTACAGGATCAAGATAAAGGATACATTGTGATAATGGAAAAATGAAGACAGTGAGGTCTAGGAAAAAAATGAGTCCAAAGAGATCACCTTCAATGATGGAGGGAGGGTGGGAGAAGTTTCATGGAAGACATAAAAACTAAGCTGGGCAATTAATGAAGAGTCTTCAATAGGAAGTAATAAGGTGAGTATAACTATTGGCATGAAAGTATTTGTATATTAACACACTATATAACCAACTTTTTGTTGTTGTTATAAGCACATAGACTGTTCACTAACCATTATTGTGATTCCTAATGCCATGGCAAAGACAAATCTGATGACATAAATACCAGAAAAGAAATATTAAACCAGTTCCTCAGTCAATACCAAAAAATGGAGAATTTAGAGATTATTTCCTTTCCACTGAATCACTAGTGATTTGTCTGAATAAACCAACCAGATAAATAAGGATCCAGTAGCTCCTTTTAACCTTCACTTCTTAAATTCACTCAAATTCATTTTAACTATGAGTATTTAATGTTATTATGCAGATGTTTCAGCTGAAAGTAGAAAAGTGGAGTTTTTGTTTAAAGTATACTGGTAGTCAGCTTTCCTCACAAGTCCTACTTTGATGCTGGGTTATATAAGTAATTTCAAATTACTGAAGGCTATGTTTCTAAGCTAGAAAGCCTGTGAGTGTGGTCTTGTTGAGAAAATCAGTTACCTTTCCAAGACCCAACCTACTTAAACACTGACTCTCATCACCAGTAGGCTGGGGACCAAGTGACTAATTAATTATTCACCCATAGCAAACCATTAACATAAGAATTTTTTAATGGCTTTCATTTTTATTGGTCCTCTTTTGTTCTTAAAGCAGTAAAAAGGTAGAAAAGGGTGCTAAGTATCACACACTTTTTATACTGCTTACAGATATTAACATAACTAAAGGTAATTTAAATGTGAGACCATATGCTTTGGTGTTGAGAGTGAATAAACAATGAAATGGTACTTTTCCTAAAGGATCTTATATTTTACTTTGTGGAAAATCCTTGGAAACATCAAAGTGTCTAGGGAGCTAATAAAAATGTCGACTTTTTCTAGGCAAATACATATGTATTCACACATGTACATTTATTTCTATATATTGTGTAGTCATACATATGCATATATATAATGTCTGAATTGTATATATGTATGTATATATATGTGTGTGTGTATATATACATATATATGGATGTGTATAAATCTATACAAAACATTAATTATCTTAAGGAAAAAGGATAATGAACATTAATTTATTTTAAAATTTTCTATTTCATAGAAATATAGTACTTTCTAAAAAAGAAAAGTTATAGTTAATATATAGGTACATTAAAACCCTATGGCCTTTATTAGTATTGTTCCTGAAAACACAAGATTTTACCTTAGGTACTATCTTTTAATGATTGGTTTTAAATACAGATGACATAGTCTGATCTGGAGATCTCTGTGTGTGACTGTTATCACACGCACATAATTCATTAAGGGCTGCTGTGTTTTTGAGCATGAAAAGCTTTTGGCCATTTTTGTTTTTGTTGCCTTATATGGTGCTTAGTTTCCTAATTTTAAGGGTATAGAATGAGAAAAATAACATGGCTGGATAGAACTTTTGAGAGACCATTGAATTCCTCATTTGACATTGAGATACTCAAATGTTGTTTTCCAAGATTTTGCTATTTAATACTGAAAAATATTGTGTGTATGAGCATGAAAAAGGACAGTATTGAACCAACATCCCTTTCTACCTTTGCTTACTAAACCACCCCCAATAACTAGGTATATGGTGTACCTATTGCTACATTCTAAACTGACCTCTCTCAGTGATAGGCCCCAGTGAAAAGGGGACCGAGTGTGTACATAGCAAAGTGCTATGAAAATGAGAAACCTGGAAAACTTCCTCTTGGTTGTCTGGAATTTCAACTCAATCTGCTTTTTCCACCTGAAATTTTTAATAAATTTTGGCAGAAAATAGGATGCTTCAACAATATTTTTTTTAGCAAGCTAATGACTTGGTAGAAGAAAATGAAACCTTAAAGGCTTCCATAAAATAAAATGCCTCCCATGAAGATAATAACCTCACACAAGATTCTATAAAAGATACTACCAGAGAGATAACTTATCAATCTGGGTTATCAGTATTAAATAAACTAGGGAAATATTTTCTTACTTGTGGTAATTGAAGGTATCTTGTAAGATATGTAATTCATGGTCTAAATATTATAAAATTAGGATTCCCTATCAGTGGTGAGGGTCTTAAAAGCCTATATTTGCAGGTGTCATTGCAATGACTATGTCACATTTACAACTGTACTATAAAGTCTGTTCAATTAAATCCACCATCACTTAAAAAAGATTTACCTGGAAAGAGACCCATACTAATAAAGCACAATGGATTTAAAAAGTACATTATTTGGATTGTGTGAAAACAATAATTCATTTTAAGGTTTGTAAAGGACCACTTCTGAAAGATCCTTGTGAGCTTGGCTCTGTTAATATTATTGGTACCACCTTATAGATGAGGAGACAGAAAAAACTGAGGTAACTTATCCATGATTACACAATCAATCAATTAAACAAGGGCTTATTACAGAATCTACTATATAGCAGGCAATGTGCTAGGTCCTGGGTGACAGAAAGAAAAAATAATGAAACATTCCCCATTCTCAGTGAGCTGACATTCTGTGGAAGGAGGCAATGTGGATATGTACGAGTAAGTAAATTATATATATATATATATATATATATATATATATATATATATATATATATACACATATATATGTATATATGTATATATGTATACACACATACATGCAGACAGACATACAGACATACTGTGGAGGGAATTCTGATTTTTATAAAAATCTAATCTATTAGTGTATTTATTAAGAACACACACACATACAAAATAAATAAGACAAAATTGGAGGTTGTGGCAGGCACTAGGAAATGGGGAGTCTCAGGAAAGGTTTCCTAAAGAAGGTGGCCCTTGAGCAGATCTTTGAAGGAAACAATGGATTCTAAAAGGCAGAAAGTCAGGTGGGAATGAGTTTGAAGGGTAGGGGAAAGCTGGTGCAAAGGACAAAGATGGCAGAGTAGAAGGAAAGAGTGGAGTTCGGCTCAACCTATCACTAAAGAACCCAGTTACCAGATGATATACCCCCTTAGATAAGTAGTTAATAGAATCCATAACTTCCTAGGAGATGAAAGTGAAAAGGATTAAGGAGAAGATAAAGCCTTAGGAGTAAGAAATCTCCTGAGGAACAAAAGCAAAAGTGAAAGTAAGAGACTTATGCTAAAAGCTTCAGTGGTAAAGAAAAAATCCCTTCAGCAACTAAAGGGAAAATAAAAGACCTCATCTAGAAGGGGAAAAATGTGTGTTTGAGGGGACACCTCAATGTGAAAGAAAAAAAAAACTCAGCTTAGGCTGCCTCCAAAAAGGTGGGAAGTGGGGTGAAGCCGGGCCTTAGCTGGCAGTCAAAGCAAAAACCCTTAATGTGGTGAAGTAAATAAAAGTGAGAAGTTCCTTCTTTCTCCTCATCTACCTCAAAGAAAAGGCCTTAACTAGGTAGGTCTATTCCACCAGAGTAGG